TGTTGCGGGGTTGCGCTCGCCACAGGGGGCACGAGGAGGAGGAGGAAGAGGAGGAGGAGGAGGAGGAGGAGGAGGAGGAGGAGGAGGAGGAGGAGGAGGAGGAGGAGGAGGATGGGGAAGGAGGTGTTGGGAGGGGGTGGGTGGAAGAGGGAAGGCAGAGGGCGATTCTTCTACCGCTGCTGCTGCTGAAGATGGTGAAGCTGGTGGTTGCTGTCGTGGTGGTGGCGACGACTACGACGAGGAGGAGGAGGAGGATGCTGCTGCTGCTGATGATGATGATGATGATGATGCTGATGATTATGGTGATGCTGATGATGTCGACGACGACGCTGGTGATGATGATGATGCTGCTGATTATGCTGATGACTACGATTATGCTGATGCTGTTGATGAAAATGATGATGCTGATGCTGATGATAGTGATGATGATGCTCCTGATGATGCTGATTATGGTGATGCTGATGAGGATGCTGTGACTACGCTGCTGATGATGGTGATGATGCTGCTGTTGTTAATGATATTGTTACTACTGCTGCTTGTGATTATGATGACGATGATGATGATGATTCTGCTGCTGATGATGCGGCTGATGATGATGCTGACCATGACGACGACGAGGTTGTTGTTGCTGCTGCTGTTGCGGTTGCTGTTGCTGGTGCTGTTTGTTGATGATGTTGCTGTTGCTGTTGCTGTTGCTGTTGCGGTAGTAGTAGTAGTAGTAGTAGTAGTAGTAGTAGTAGTAGTAGTAGTAGTAGTAGTAGTAGTAGTAGTAGTAGTAGTAGTCGTAGTAGTAGTAGTAGTAGTAGTAGTAGTAGTAGTAGTAGTAGTAGGAGTAGTAGTAGTAGTATTAGTAGTAGCAGTAGTAGTAGTAGTAGTAGTAGTAGTAGTAGTGCTAGTAGTAGTCGTAGTAGTAGTAGTAGTAGTAGTAGTAGTAGTAGTAGTAGTAGTAGTAGTAGTAGTAGTAGTAGTAGTAGTAGTACTAGTAGTAGTAGTAATAGTAGTAGTAGTAGTAGTAGTAGTAGTAGTAGTAGTAGTAGTAGTAGTAGTCGTAGTAGTAGTAGTAGTAGTAGTAGTAGTAGTGGTAGTATTGGTGGTGGTGGTGGTGGTGGTGGTCGTATTGATATTACTAGTGATTGTTGTTCTTGCGGTTGTTGTTGTTGTGGTTGTGGTTGCTGCTGCTGCTGCTTCTGTTGTTGTTGCTGCTGCTGCTGTTGTTGTGGTTGTTGTTGTTGTTGTTGTTGTTGTTGTTGTTGTTGTTGTTGTTTGTTGTTGAATGTTGTTGAATGTTGTTGAATGTTGCCGTTGCCGTTGCTGTTGTTGTTGTTGTTGTTGTTGTTGTTGTTGTTGTTGTTGTTGTTGTTGTTGTTGTTGTTGTTGTTGTTGAATGTTAATTACTAAACACCTGTTGTCGTTGGACCCATTAAAGGTGCTTTGGCGCTCTCGCCGAGGCGTCGGCTACATGTTCATTGCAAATGAGGCTCACGCTCGAGCGGTTTCGGGGACCGCCAAAACCGGCCCTCCAACAACAACAACGCTCCCGCTCGAGACTTCTTCCTTTTTTGCTCAGGGCTGGTGTTCTTGCTCGCCGCCGAAAGCCGCCGTCCTCACAAAACCAGCGCTCCCGCTCGAGACGTCCTCCGTTTTACCTTGGACTGGCGCGCTAGTCTTTCTCTCATCGGCGCCGCCCCCAGCAAAAACAACGCTCCCGCTCGAGGCTTCCTCTTTTTTTTACTCAAGGCGGTGCTCCTCCTCGCCGCCGAAAACCGCCGCCCCGACAAAACCAGCGCTCCCGCCCGAGACTTCCTTCCGTTTTACGCTGGACTGGCGCCCAACTCTCTTTTGAATTGGCGCCGCTCCCAGCAAGAACAACGCTCCCGCTCGAGGCTTCCTCCCTTTTTCCTGAAGACGGTGCTGTTCCTCGCCGCCGACAACCCCAGTCCCGACAAAGCCACGGCTCCCGCTCGATCCTCCCTTCTTACTCAAGGCGGTGTTCCTCCTCGCCGCCGAAAACCGCCGCCCCGACAAAACCAGCGCTCCCGCCCGAGACTTCCTTCCGTTTTACGCTGGACTGGCGCCCTACTCTATTTTGAATTGGCGCCGTTCCCAGCAAGAACAATGCTTCCGCTTGAGATTTCTTTTCTTTTTCCTCAGGAGGTGCTGTTCATCGCCGCCGACAGCCCCCGTCCCGACAAAGCCACGGCTCCCGCTCGATGCTTCCTCCCTTCTTACTCAAGGCGGTGTTCCTCCTCGCCGCCGAAAGCCGCCGTCCCAACAAAACCAGCGTTCCCGCTCGAGACTTCGTTTTGTTTTACGCTGGACTAGCGCCCTACTCTCTTCAGCATTGGCGCCGCTCCCAGCGACAACAGCAGCCCTGCTCGAGCCTTCCTCCCTTTCTATTCAGGGCCAGGTCCCTGCCTCACCGCCGACAGCCCCCATCCCCACCAAGGCGACCCTGTCGTTCGATACTTCCTTGTGCTTTACCCTTCCCTTCGCTGGAGTTCCACTAGCGATCTCGCATCGGCGCATCAAGGCGCGGGCATGTGTTTTCGAGGCGGGATATGATGAAATTACTCGGAGGAGGTGTTCGCAAGACCTCAGTGGGCGGGAGATCTGGGAATGGGAATAACGGACTCCGCTATAGAACAAGACTCCCCCATGATGTGGATGGTTATCATGATGGACGCATGCTTCGTGTGGAATCATCGCGCGTGAGGGTAACATGATTGTTGTTGTTGTTGTTGTTGCTGCTGCTGCTGCTGTTGCTGCTGTTGCTGTTGTTGTTGTTGTTGTTGTTGTTGTTGAATTCGGTTTTTCATCGTTGATCGCCAGCTTCACATTGCATGTTTCCAATTGAAGTGCCCCTCCCGGGGCTGGCACCTTGTTTTATCATCAGGGAACGTCTGCAGCGTCAAGCTGCGCCCCTGTCCCCCGAGTTACAGCAACAACGGCTCCCGCCGAATACTTTCCCACAGTGTATTGAAGAAGCGCGCTCTCGCGCGGGACGTCCTCAACATTTATGTAGGGTTCGCGCTAGCGAGTGGGAGTTCCTCGCAATTTATTCATACGATGCGCCCTCAGCGCCCCGACGATTCTATTCTGCGTCGCGCCGCGCCCGCCCCCCCTCCCCGCCCCCCCCCCGCGCCTCCTCTGCCCTCCCCTTGCCCGCCCCGCCCCCCTCCTACCCCTCCCCAGCGTCCCCCCGTGGCCCAGTGGAACCTCCGCCCAGTGCCCCCTCCGCCCCAACCATGATTCCGCGTTGCGCCGCACCCGCTCCACCTCCCCGCCCCCCTCATACCCCTCCCCGGCCCCGTGCCTGCCCGCCCCCTTCCGCCGCGACTATTCTATTCCGCGTCGCACCGCACCCGCCCCCTCCTACCCGTCCCCGGTGCTCCCCAGGGCCCCAGTGGAACGGGCGCCAAGTGCCCCCTCCGCCCCGACAATTCTATTCCGCGTCGCACCGCGCGCCCTCCACCCCGTGCCCGCTCCCCTGCCCAAGCCTCGCCAGCGTGCACCGACTGCTCCGCGGAATTTCCGCCCCGTGCCCCCTTCCGCCCCGACAATTGTATTCCGCGTCTCAACGCGCCCGCCCTCCCTCCCCGCCCCCCTCCCGCCCTTCCTCCATTCCCCCTCTGCCCGCCCCGCCCCCTCCTACCCTTACCCAGCGTTCTCCAGTGGCCCAGTGGAACCTCTCTGCCCCAGTGCCTCCTCCGTCGCCACGATTTTACTCCGCGTCCGCCGCGCCCGCCCGCCCGCACCCGCCCGCCCCCTCGACTCTCCTCGCCCCCTCCGCCCCAGAGGCACAGTGAGGAGCAGGAAGGAGGAGGAGGAGGAGGAGGAGGAGGAGGAGGAGGAGGAGGAGGAGGAGGAGGAGGCGGAGGAGGAGGAGGAGGAGGAGGAGGAGAGGAGGAGGAGGAGGAGGAGGAGGAGGAGGGAGGAGGGGGAGGGGGAGGGGGAGGGGAGGGGGAGGGGGAGGGGGGGGGGAGGGGGAGGGGGAGGGGGAGGAGGACAAGCTAGGCGCGCTCGCGTCATATCTGACATCCTACCCCTCCGTTCCATCCCTTACCATGGCGCAGATCCCCTCTCTACTCGCACAGTCGGATGTCGAGCAGGGCAATGATCCCGAAAGGGTACGCGATGCATTGAAGAGCATGGCATGGCATGGCGTAGAAGAGCACCGCGAAGCGTAGTATCAACCTAGCATTGCATTGCATGCCGTGGCATGGCACGGGAAATGACGCCAGCGCTGCAGCGGGAGCACGAGTCGAAACGAACGGAAGCGCGGGGAGCACGATTCGGAACGAGCGGAAGCACGCCGGAATCGGCCCGGGAGGCTTCCCGGGCGCCAGAAGCAGAAATTCAGCATTTTCAAAGGAAAAATGTGTATTGGAATGGCATTTTTTCGGCGCCGCCTCGGAACTCGATTTTCCGGCGGCGGCCGGAACCGGCTCCGGACCCGGCCTGGGCGCCGGCCCAGGCGCCGGCTCGGGCGTCCGGCCCAAGCGCCGTCTCGGGCGCCGGCTCGGGCGTCGGAATCGGCCCGGGGGGCCTCCTGGGCGCCAGAAGCAGAAATTCAGCATTTTTAAAAGAAAAATATGTATTAGAATGGCTCTTTTTCGGCGCCGCCTCGGAACTCGATTTTCTGGCCGCGGCCGGAACCGGCTCCGGAACCGGCCCGAGCGCCGGCCCGGGCGCCCGCTCGGGCGTGCAGCCCGGGCGCCGGCGGAAATGATGCCAGCGCTGCACCGCGGGAGCACGATTCGGAACGAGCGGGGCCCGAAAATGAGGCCGGCGCCTCAGCGAGAGCAGCATTTTGGACAAAAAATGCAGGCGAAAACCCAACTTCGGGGAAACCTGTGTGTAAAAAACAGTACGCGGGGGGGGTCGGCTACTCCCAAGACGTCATCAGGGGAAGAGGGAGAGTAGTATTCATATTGAGTAATTGTGGAGGAGGAGGAGGAGGAAGAGGAGCAGGAGGAGGAGGAGGAGGAGGAGGAGGAGGGGGAGGAGGAAGAGGAGGAGCAGGAGGAGGAGCAGGAGGAGGATGAGGAGGAGGAGGACGAGGAGGAGGAGGAGGAGGAGGAGGAAAATTAATACTAGTAGTATTAATCAGAATAAGAGTGATAACGCGAGCGCTAAGAAGAATACGAATAACAATACTAATACTACTATTAATAATAATAATAGTAGTAAGCAGGTTATTAAGAAGGATACGACGCATACTAAGAGTACGAACACTAATAATACGATTGAGAATGATACTGGGATGACTATTAGAACTACTGATAAGGATAACACGAAACACAATTTACATACGAGTAACACTACTAATAATAATGAGAAGCAGACGTCGAAGACGAACCATACTAATAACACTATCAATACTAATGCTAGACATAAGAATATGATAACAATGATAATGGTAATCCTAAGACTACGAATGCTACTAGTAAGAAGAACAATAGTGGTAATAATGCGTATCATACTACGAATGCTAACGACACTATTAATACTAATAATAGTGAGATGACAGTGATACTGATACTATTAATTTTATCAATATCATTTTTATTATTCATATTACCACTACTACTATTCATAATACTACCAATGTTAGTATTGGTAATGCTAACAATATTATAATATTCCTACTACTAATGATAATACTAATAGTGATACTGATGATGATTATGATGATGAGGATGATGATGGTTATGCTATTATTACTATTATTACTGATAGTAGTTTCAATCATACTAATGATGATAACTATACGAATAATAGTACACATGCTAATACTACTCTTGATCATAATTATAAGATTAATCACAAGAATATTTATTCCTAATACTACAAATAATAATATGAATAAGAGGAATCATATTTGTAATACTGATCACAATACTAATGAGAAGAAAAGGAGGAGGAGGAGGAGGAGGAGGAGGAGCAGGAGCAGGAGCAGGAGCAGGAGCATGAGGAGGTGGAGGAGGAGGAGGAGCAAGAGGATAATGAGGAGGAAAAGGAGGAGGAGCAAGAGGAGGAGCAGGAGGAGGAGGAGGAGGAGGAGGAGGAGGAGGAAAGGGGGAGGGGGAGGGGGAGGAGGAACAAGCTAGGTGCGCTCGCGTCATATCTGACATCCTACCCCTCCCTCCCATCCCTTACCATGGCGTAGATCCCCTCTCTACTCGCACAGTCGGATGTCGAGCAGGGCAATGATCCCGAAAGGGTACGCGATGCATTGTAGAGCACGGCATGGCATGGCGTAGAAGAGCACCGCAAAGCGTAGTATGTCACAGCATGGCGTGGCGTGGCGTAGTGAAGAATTGCATCACAAAGCTTTGCAACGCAAAGCATGGCATCGCACAGCGGCCCCGAACATAACATTGCATAGCATGGCGTTGAAGATCAAAGCGTAGCATGGCATAGCACGACGTGGCACTTAAGCACTGCATATCACAGCTTCAGCTGAAGGCATGGCATCGCGCAGCGGAACGCAACCTAGCATTGCATTGCATGCCGTGGCATGGCACGGGAAATGACGCCAGCGCTGCAGCGGGAGCACGATTCGGAACGAGCGGAAGCGCGGAAATGAGGCCAGCGCTGCAGCGGGAGCACGATTCGGAACGAGCGGAAGCACGGAAATGAGGCCAGCGCTGCAGCGGGAGCACGATTCGGAACGAGCGGGGCCCGAAAATGAGGCCGGCGCCTCAGCGAGAGCAGCATTTGAGGCCGGCGCCTCAGCGAGAGCAGCATTTTGAAAACAAATGCAGGCGAAAACCCAACTCGGGGAATCCTGTGTGTAAAAAACGTACGCGGGGGGGGGGGCGAACACTCCCAAACCGTAATCAGGGGAAGGTGGAGAGTAGTATTCATATTGAGTAATTGTGGAGGGAGGAGGAGGGAGGAAGAGGAGGAGGAGGAGGAGGAGGAGGAGGAGGAGGAAAGGGGGAGGCAGAGGAGGAAAGCGGACGAGGAGGAGGAGGAGGAGATGGAGGGCGAAGATGACGAGGAGGAGGAGGAGGAGGAGGAGGAGGAGGAGGAGGAGGAGGAGGCGCAACAGAGAGCGGGAGGAGAGCCTCCGCCAAGGCGTATTTGAAAAAACGAGGGGCAGGTTAGAGTGATTATCGTGTGGCTCCTACCGTCGGAGTAATTTTGTTCGCTCGCATGCGGCTTCTCGCTCCAGACTCACCGAGCGCCTTCCACTACTCGCAGAGTGCCTACTCGCAGACGTCCGAAGGACACACGCTTGCCTCGATGTGCTGGATCGCGAATCCCCCTCGGCGGATCCAGGCCATTTGCGAGCATTTGCTGTGCGACTGTGCGAATCGTGGGCCGCGCCGCGGGTTCGACGTTGCCCACCCCGCGCGCGCGCGTTCCCGTCGCTTCGGGAGCTAAGCAGAAGCCACTTCTAGCTATCTCGGAACGCTACCTTTCCCTAATTTTTTTCTATCTCATGTTGCTGTCTTGATCCCCAGCTGTCTGAGGCCATCTGGTGTCACGAGTCGTGGGCCGCGCCTGTCTACAGGCAGCAGACCTGCGACAGCTTACCAGCCTGGAACATACCCCTATCCCTGTGCTGGGCACCTCCTCATCACGATGCCGATCCTGGGGATCCCCTGATTTTTTGAGGGCGAATCCCTAAGATTGTCATCGCCTTTTGGCGTGTCAATCTTAGGGATAGGGATATAGGCTGGTCGTTCGAGGCTGGTCACCGCAGGCAGCGGACCTGCGGCAGCGACGCGCCCGCCGCGGCCTCGGCCCGCCGGCGCCGGGGGAGTGCGCGACGCCCGCCTCGGGCTCTCCCCCCGCCTCTGCGCTCCTCCGCGCGGGGCTCCGCGTTTTCTTTTCGCTGCCGCCCCTGCCAGGGCCCATATCTCGGGGCTCAGGTTCTGTCTCCTCCTCCTCCTCCTCCTCCTCCTCCTCCTCCTTCTCCTCCTCCTCCTCCTCCTCCTCCTCCTCCTCCCCCTCCCTCCCAGAAATAAGTTCGAGCACCCAGAAAAAGTGTCAGAAGAGCGTCGGAACGGTGTCGAAACAGTGTCGGGCGAGTGTCTCCCAGGGCCGATATCTCGGGGCTCATTGGGGGCCACATGCGAACCCTACCCCTACCCCCCACGATTTCTGAGGGGGAGGGTGGGGTTCACTTCGCTCGTGACCTCCCGCACGAAGTGCACCCCGCCCTCCCCAGAAGTCGTGGGGGGTAGGGGTAGGGTTCGCATGTGGCCCCCTGGCTCAGGTTATGTTGTTCCCATCTTACTTAAGGAGCACATCCCAGAAATAATTTCGAGCACCCAGAGAGGTGGCAAAGGAGTGTCGAAGCAGTGTCGAAACAGTGTCGGGCGAGTGTCTCCCAGGGCCCGACACCTGAAAACCCTTGAGTTTCGTGTTTGTTTTCCCGCCGCTCGAAATTCTTCCTGGTGATCAACGACGCTAAAGTAGGTTGGAGCATCATAAGGCTCAGGGGACAAGGAGCCTTCTGGATGCCTACCCCCATCCCCTTCCTCCTCCGTCCCGCTCTCCTCCCCAACCATCCAGCGCAGTGGGAAACTCGAGGCGGAGGCTTTTCGTCTGTTTCGGCCTCTGGAGGCCCCCGACGGGCCTGGGGCCCGTCAAGCAACGACTCGGGATGATGAACCGGCTCCAGGGAAAGGGTCGAGATTCTTGGGGACCCTGTATGGAACAACTCCAGACATCGGATCGCTGGGTCCCCTCCTCGTCTGACTCGTCTCCCCCCCCCTCTCTTCTGTACTTCCTCTTGTCCTGTCCCAGCGGCTTCCCCCCTCTCCGCTGGCACTGCAAGGCACCTTGGCCAGGGCCGGTCCCAGGGGTCCCTAAGAAGAAGAGGAGAGATCTTGCGCACCATAAGCAGCTTTGCACGGGCGGCAAAGCACGCCTTGAGCACGCGTTGCCCACCATCGAACCATGCAGCTGCAGCGGCTCGATTGAACGATTAAGCCCAAGCCTCCCTTCGTCATCCGCCGAACTACCCGTCTGATTCGAGATGCCACACGCGCGGAGATTCACGACAAGCTGTGGCGGATCTCATCATAGTGTTACCATGCGGGTCTCAAGGATCTAGACACCACCACCTCCATTCTTCCTCCCTCCTCTATCCTCCTCTTCCTCTGCCCTTTCCTCTGAAGGGAAAATAGTGAGGAAAGTAATGGTGGTGGTGGTGGTGTTGTATCTTTGCAGGATCTGCATGCGAGGTTTGAACATATCCTTCATTAAAGGGTCTGCTGGTTGCGAAACCGAGCCAGCGGCAGGCGCAGGTACCGTGGAGGTCCGTGGAGGTCCCCGGAGACTTCGGAGGCCCCGTGGAGGTCCCCAAAGAATTGAAACGCTCCATGTCTGGATCTGGGATCCTCGGCTCTGAGCACTTAATTCAGGAGGGGAAGAAACACACAGACACAATTAATCCTCGATTCCCCAGAAAATATGGGAAAATATGGGCAGTGGGGGGGAAGACAAAAACCCAGAAAATATGGGAAAATATGGGGACTATTTTTATTTGTGTGTATTTATTTGTGTGTCCTGATTTCCCTTTATTAATTCGCCGCCCTCTGCAGGGCCAGTGCCGGCGCGCGTGGGAGCGCGCGCGGAGGCAGGGAGGGGAGGGGAGGGGAGAGGGGAGGGAGGGAGGGGAGGGGAGGGGAGGGAGGAGGGGAGGAGAAGGGGGGAGGGAGGAAGGGAGGGAGGGGCGGGAGGAGGGGCGGGAGGAGGACGGGAGGGAGGGAGGGGCGGGAGGGAGGGAGGGAGGGAGGGAGGGAGGGGGGAGGAGGAGGAGGAGGCGGAGGTGGGGGAGGCGGAGGGAGGGAGGAGGGGAGGGAGGAGGGAAGAGGAGCGAGGGCACCCCATCGCCCCTTACCGCAGGGGTGATGCTGGCGCCGCAGGCCAGCCCCGTGCCGGACCAGCTCCACGGTCTGGTCCTTCGCGCCCCGCCCGCCGGCGCGAGGCAGCACAGGCCTGTGCCCCCCCCAACGCTGCTGCGCGGCCTCCTCGCCGAGGGGGAGAGGGCTTCTGCCCCTGCCCTCCCCCCTGTTCCCTGCCCCCCCCCAGGTCCTCCTCGTCCTCCTACTCCTCCCTCCTTCCTCCTCCTCTCCTCTCCTCTCTTCCCCGTCCTCCTCTCCCTCTTGCCTTCCTCCCTCCTCCCTCCTCCCTTCCCGCTCTGCCTCTGCCTCCGCCTCCTCTCCTCCTCTCCTTCTCTTCCCCCTCCTCTGAATTACCCCACCCCCCTCCTCCTCTTCCTCCTCCTCATCCTTCTCCGTTCCTTGTCCTTCTGAATAATTTCTTGCTCGCGCACCCCGAGGCCAGTCGGAAGGCCTGAGACTTCCTGACCATTTATGATCCTGAAGCCTAGAAGCTGGCAGTAGTTTCGCCGATGGAGGGCGGAGGGTGGGTGGTTTTCAACATGTGGCTCTCGCCTCAGCGCCGCGCACATTGAGTTTTACTGATTGAGGGCGTGTGGTTTTCAAAATGTGGCTCTCGCCTCAGCGCCGCGGACATTCGTTCAAACAATGATGCTACAGGAGTTTCCCGCATGAAGATAGTTCGGGGTTAGCAGGATCAGCGGGGCACAACAGTAGTAAGGAATAAGGAAGGCCCATGACGTTCATATATTGTCATGGAAGGGCCGACGACGGCGAGGAGGGGAAGCTGCATGAAAGCAGAGGATGGTTGTTCAGGACGCTTCCTTTTCTTTTGTATAGAAGGGCGAGCACCTTATAAATAGTATGGTATTCCGATGCCCTCCTCGCTCTGACGGGGCCTCCCTGGAGGGGTGGGAGGGGCGCGAAACCTTGTAAAATGGTATGGCATTCCGATACCGTTTCCGAGACGTGTAAATGTGTATGGCAGACATTGTGTAATTTTACGCAGAAGGGGTGTACATGGTATGGTATACATTGTGTTTTGTGGACCGGTTCAGGATTGCCAGGGCGCAACAGTTACGTTGATTCGCGGTGTTGAGGTCCCAGGAGGAGTGTTGTGGCACAATTCAGGATCGTCAAGACGCAGCAGTCAGGTTGATTTGTGGCGTTTAAGTCCCGAAAATCGTGTTCGGGCACAATCCAGACGGTTGTCTCCCAATGGGGCAGTTCCCTGAGTGGAAATGAATCCTTGCAGGGGCCTATGAAGCGGGAGCTTGAAGGGAGGGTTTATGCCAACATCGTTGATGGGTCTTGGGTTTACGCTGCTTCTTCTTCTCCTCTTCTTTTCCTCTTCTCCTCCTCTCCCCCCCTCCTCCTCTTCCTCCTCCTCCTCCTACTAATCCCCCCTTAATTAGGCTGAAGGCCCACGGGCGTGGCGCCTCATGATGCGCGCCAGTGTTCGGAACCCATTTGTTGGTGCCGGCTCTTCAAAGCCCAGCCACCTGGGACCTTCCACCCCTAAAGGAAGAGCATCGTCTTATAATACCCCTCGTCCCCCTCCTCCTCCTCCTCCTCCTCCTCCTCCTCTTCCTCCGCGGCCAGAGTATGTTCTTCCGCCTGCAAGCGCGCGTGCGCGCCGTCACAGTGCTTGTCGTCGAGTTCCGAGGATTGGGGTTCGAGGATCGAGGCCCCTGGGCGGCCTGATGTTCTTCTGCGAGCCTCGGGCCCCTGGGGACCTGCGCTTCTGGGCACCCCTGAAAATCTGGATCCTGCCCTCGGCCGTCTGCTGCCGTCGTCTTCGCAGCGCGCGGGCATCCTGCCCCTCGGGCCAGCCCCTCCACTGTCAGCCACCCTGGGGCGAGACAGCAGGGCGCAACAACCAGAGCCCACGCCGCAAAAAACAGCCCACGACGGATCCAGATCATCACGATGAGAGCTCTCGACCGCTGTGTCCCTGCCTCGCGTCTCGAGTCGGATCGAGCGGCGAGGGCTCTGGGGCCCGAGGTGTGAGCCCGGAGGGTGGTGGCAGGACGGCGGAGCGGAAGGGGCGGAGCGAGGGGGGGGGGGGCGGGCCCTCCGGGGAGGCGCCTCTGCGAGCGCCCCCCCTCGCTGCAGCGGCTGGAGGAGGGGGATTGAGGACTGAGGGGTGGATGCACGGATGGACGGGGGGATGCATGGATGGATGGATACAGGATGGAGGATGCACGGATGGATGGATGGAGGGGGGGGTGGCTGGATGGTGCAAGGATGGGGGACAGGATCGACGATGATGACGATGATGACGATGCTGATGATGCTGCTGATGATGATGCTGCTGATGCTGATGCGGATACTGATGCCGATGATGATGACGCGGCTGATAATGATGCTGCTGCTGATGCTGCAGTGGTCGGTGACATTGTTGTTGATGTTGTTGATGATGATGATGCTGCTGACGATGATGATGATGCTGCTGATGATGATGATAATGACGATGGTTATGATGATGCTGATGCTGCTGCTGATGATGATGATGCTGACTATGCTGCTGCTGCTGATGATGGTGGTGACGATGATGATGCTGCTGCTGATGATAATGATGAGGATGATGATGATGTTGATGATGAGCATGATGATGCTGCTGAAGATAATGCTGCT